ATGGTAGAGTAGCTTTCTCTGGGAACTGTTCTATAGAAACTCTTTAGCAACCCCCACCAGCTTTTTAAGCTTTCATTCCCTTCTGATTATCACAAAATCATTTTAAACTATTCTAACAGTGATCATCTTTTCCAGTCACACTTTATTTACTCATTAGATTTCACATTATCTCTATTTTTTTTTCCAAGGAGGTTTGTTTACTTATTTGAAAGGCAGAGTTGCAGACAGGTAGAAACTGCAGTGGAGAGAGGCAGAGATGTTCCACCAACTGATTCATGCCCCAAACGGGCCCAACAGTCAGAGCTGGGCCACACGAAAACCAGGAGCTTGCAGGTACCCAAGTACTCAGGTCAGCTCCCAGTCCTTTCCCAGGTACCTTATCAGGGAACTGGATAAAACATGGACCAGCTGGAACTGGAACCAGTGCCCATCCCAACCTCTACTCTTAACCTTATGAATGTTTCTAGTTAATAAATTTTATGATCACTGATTATTAAATTCTCAGAATCTTTTTTTTTTTAGTCTCTTTTTAAGAGTTTGTTTATTTGGCAAACAGATTTACAGAGAGAGGGGAAAAGGCAGAGAATCTTCCTTCCTGTGGTTTGCTCCCCAGATGGCCACAATGGCCAGGGCTAGGCCAGGCGGAAATCAGGCGCTTCATCCGTGTCAACCTTGCAGGTGGCAGGAACCCAGGCATTTGGGCTATCCTTTGCTGCTTTCCCAGGCACATAAGCAGGAAGCTGGCTGGATCTGAAGTGGAACAGCCAGGACCCGCAGTGGCACAGCCAAATGAGATGCCATAGTTGCAGGAAGTGTTTCACCCAAGGCAGTCCCTAACCAAAAATTTAAAGTATGTGTCCTAATTCTGAATCTTATTTCTCTGGTCTCAAAGAAATGAAGATCAATAAAACTCAAGGGATCATGTGGATTGCAATCTCATAGGCAGATTGCAATCCACATGAAAGCAGGTTCAAGTTCTGGCTATTTCACTTCCAATTCAGCTTCCTGCTAATGGCCAGGGAAAGCAACGGAAGCTGGCCCAAGTTCTTAGGTCCCTGCACCCACATGGTAGATCTCGAAGAAGCTCCTGGTTCCTGGCTTTTTTGTGGCCATTTGGGAATGGCACAACAACAGATGGAAGATCTGTCTCTCCTCTCTCTGTAACTTTGCCTTTCAAATAAATAAATATTGAATCAAATAAAGCTCAAGTAAAACAGCAACAACTTTTTGTTCCTTACATGTTAAACACATCAATCACATTGCAGTGCTCATGACTACAGATTGATTCTCTCAGTAAGTTGGTTCGTTTCACTTCACAAACTTTTGAAACCAAAGGTTGGATCTCATCAGCTACTTCTTGGATCCAAATTTACCAGATAAGGCATATTTAGCAATCCTCTTAGCCAAGGTGACATGCTGCATGACACCCATGAATGACTGAAAATTAAAAAACAGTACCAAACCCAATGGATATGATTTTTCTCCTATATGTGTACACACACCCGTGAAAAAGTTTAATATATAAATTATACACAGTGGTTAACAATAAAATAGTTAACAATAAACTGTAATAAAAGTTAACAGCACGTAGTCTCTCTTACTCTGCAAGTATCCTATCATATTTTCACCTTTTCACTTAAACAAGTGTGAAGAACTTCCAGCCCACGGTCCCTCTGCAGCCTGGGCTCTGTGCTGCCCTGCCAACGCAACTGCAATTAATGTAGGGTCATTTTTCAGTTGATAATTTCACATGCCACATGAATGACAAATATCCTAATAGCCCTTGGAAGGAAACAGGTTCCCCTCCTCTGACTTAAAAGCAACACTTCACATTCTCTCACAGGTACAGGTTACAGCCAGTAGCACCACTCACGCTTGACTAAGGAGCCATCAGTAAGTAAAACAAGGTGACCTGAACACAGGTATTGCCAACCTGCTAACCAGGAGCCTGGCTACTAAACAACTCATAAGCGGGTAGCTATACGGTCTGGGTACTCTAAACAAAGAGCTGATTCATATCCCAGAGGACGGAGCACCGGGTAAGAATTACTATCTAGAGTTGCTTGCAATTTAAAGCGTATTTTTGGAATTTCCCATTTTATCATTTTGGACCGTGGCTGACAGCAAGCCACTGAAGCCACGGAAAGTAAAGACACAGATAAAGAGGTACTAAGGTACATGCGTCAGACATGTCACCTGGACAGATGCCAAAGGTTATCTGCCTTTAGCATACCACCATGAATTTTTTTTTAAGAGTATCCATTTTAAGAGTGATAAGCCTCGTGCTCCTATTCAACTGATAGTTTATTCTCATACAAGGTCTCCTCACTTAGCACTTGCATAGTAAAATCACCAAGTATACCAGCAAATAGAATTCACTTTCAAAAAAATGTTATCAGGCTGAAAAAAAATGTGATCAGACTGGCACAGTGGAGCAGCATCCCAACACCAGAATTCCCCAAAGGTTCTGGTTCAAGTCTCAGCTGCTCCGTATCTCACTTGGTTCCGTGCTACTGCTCCTGGGAAAGCAGGAAAGGTTGGCTCAAGTGATTGGGTCCCTCACCAAAATGGGAGACCCGGATAAAACTCCTGGCTCCCTGGCTTCAGCCTGGCCCTGCCTTGGCTGCTTCGGCCATTGAAGAATCAATCAGTGCACAGAAGGATTCTCTCTCTGGCTCTGTCTCTTTGCTTCTCTGTGTGTGTGCAACTCTATCTTTCAAATAAATAAACCTTTAAAATAAAAACATACACATCATCAACATCATTTTGAAATTCTACTTCTGGGCCCAGCACAGTAGCCTAGTGACTAATGTCCTTGCCTTGCATATGCCAGTATCCCATTTGGGTTGTACTTCCCTTCCCACTCCCTGCTTGTGGCCTGGGAAAGCAGTAGAGGACGGCCCAAAGCCAAGAGTCCCTGTACCCATGTGGGAGACCCAGAAGCTCTGGGCTCCTGGCTTCAGATCAGCTCAACTCCTACTGTTGCAACCACTTGGGGAGTAAACCAGTGGACAGAAGATCTTTTTCTCTGTCTCTCCTTCTCTCTGTAAATCTGACTTTCCAATAAAAAATAAACCTGTTTTTTTAAAAACAAATTCTACTTCTGCTTTCCAAGATGTTAAGAATTATAATCACCGAGTTACCATGCACAAAGTTATTTTCTTCATCACTTAGGCTACTGAGAAAAAAAAAAAGAATAAAAACGAGTTTCAGGACTGGCATTGTGGTACAGCACATTAAGCTGCCTGTGACGCTGGCATCCAGTATGAGCTCTGCAAAGTCCCAGCTGGTCCACTCCTGACACAGCTCACGGGTAATGAACCTGGGAAAGCAGCAAGACAGTTCAGCTGCTTCCTGGCTTCAGTTTGGCCCGGCCCTACAAACTGTGGCCATTTGGGGAGTAAATCAGCTGATAAAAGATCTCTTTCTCTATCTCCCACACTCTCTTTAGAACTCTACCTTTCAAACACTTTTTTCAAAAGATTTTTTTTTAATTGCAAAGGCAGATATATACAGAGGAGGAGAGACAGAGAGGAAGACCTTCTATCCAATGATTTATTCCCCAAACGACTGCAACAGTCAGAGCTGTGCCAATCCGAAGCCAGGAGCCCAGAGGCTCTTCTGAGTCTCCCACTCAAGTGCAGGGTCCCAAGGCTTTGGGCCATCCTCAATTGCTTTCAGAGGCTACAAGCAGGGAGCTGGATGGGAAGCAGGGCTGCCAAGATCAGAACTGGCACCCATATGGGATCCTGGCATATGCAAGGCAAGGACTTTAGCCTCTAGGCTACCATGCTGCCCTCAAACACTTTTTTTTTTAAAGATTTAAACAAAGAGGAAAGACAGAGAGGAAAATCTTCAATCATTGATTCACTCCCCAAGTGGCCACAATGACCAGAACTGCGCTGATTCAAAGCCAGAACCCAGGAGCTTCTTCCAGGTCTCCCACACAGGGTCCCAAGGCTTTAAGCCATCCTCGACTGCTTTCCCAGGCCAAAGGCAGCGAGCTGGATGGGAAGCAGTGCCACGGGACAAAAACCGGTGCCCATATGGGATTCCAGCGTCTGCAAGGCAAGGACTTTAGCCACTAAGCTACCACTACAGCCCTCAAACATTTTTTTAAAAAGTGAGGTTCCATAGGGTACCCTATTTCATTGCTTATTCTTACGGAGTTTGACCACTGAGCAGGTTGTAAATCTGGAGTAATATAATCTAGGTCACATCTCCTAATGTTACTATTTATCCTAAGAATAAATCCTATTTGTATTTGTTTCTAAGATTTATTACTTATTTTACTTGAAAGAGCTACAGAGACAGAGGGACAGAAACAGAGACCTATCCTCTGATTCCCTCCCCAGTGGCCACCACAGCCAGAGCCTGGCTAGTCCAAGGTGGAAGTCGGGAGTTTCTACTAGGTCTCCCATGTGGGCACAGGGGTCCAAGGACTGGGCCATCCTCTGTCACTTTCCCAGTTTATAAGCAGGGAACTGAATCAAATGAGGAGCTGCTGGGACTTGAACTGATGCCCATTTGGGATGCAAGCACTGCGGGTTAAGGATCAGCCATCATGCCAACCCAACAGCAACAAATTTAACTACTTAAAAGTATAAACTTCACAATGCACTTGCCAAAGAAAAAATTAATAGTAAATTATGGAATGGGAAAACACTTAAGATTTTATGAGAGAACTTTAGAAGTCATCAGACTTTATAGTTTACCTAGATCTTACTTGGATATTAATCATGTGATCACTGTCCTATACAGATTTATGGTTACAACTGGAGTGGCTGGAAGCTGGCCGTGGTTTCTTTAGGACTCCTTTATTGAGAGGCTCAGTAGCGAAGAATCAGCTTGCTATGACACTGTGCCAGCCCCCACATCGCCATTCTAAAGCATCACATTCACAGGGATCAGGGAAAAAAACCAAGCTATATAAGCACACATTGAAATGAACTATTCATTATATTCCAGAAGAGCGCTCCTTGGTTTAAATACATTCTCACCCAAGTCTCAAAGTAGACAGGTCTATTAGACTTTGAAGACAACCCGAATCCCAGCTCTAAACTACTGTACGAGCTGGAGGCTTCTAGTTACGGGTTTACGAGGTTGCTTATATGTGACCAGGCAACATTTCCGAACCTCCGTTCCTCTGTCTGTAAAACAGGGTGAGAACTCACGTCAAGCACTTAATTCGGAGCCCAGTACATATGATATGCTCACTCCAAACTATATGAACTATTACCACTGTTAGTCAAAACCGTTAAGAAAAAACGAGAACTCAAACTCAGATCTGACACCCAGACCCCATGCTCTTTCTACAACACACTGCAACTGTCAACTCTTCCGTGTGGGAATCCATACTTGAAACGTGACAGAGACCAGACATTGATTGCACAGAGCAGTTACAGCATTCCCCAGGACAGCCACACCCTACCGTGGAGGGCTGGGTTCAAGTCCTGGCTCCACAACAACTCATTTCTTGCTAACGTGCACCTGAAAAGGCTGCAGGGTATGGACCAAGTGCTTGGGTCCTTGCCATCCCCACGAGCCACCTGGACAAAGTTCCCAGCATCCTGCCTGACCCTGGTCCAGCTCTGGCTGGCAAAAGGGGAACAGACCAGACGATGCAGCATCTGCCTCTGCCTTTCAAATAAAATGAATGAAAGAAAGAAACCCAGTTAGCTTCTTTTTTTTTTTTTCAAAGAAATATGACACATGTGGGAAACTGATACTGTCTGAAAAAATAATTCAGTTAACTAAACCAACAGAAATATTCTACTTCTGATATTGTAGAACCAAGAAAAAAAAACTATCAGAAGATGCTGTTTAGACATTCAAAGTTTTCTTCTGATTGCTAAGAAAATAGCTTCCTATTTACACAGGAATTTGTTCTATTCTTCTCAAACTATTTGTAAGTTTGAATTATCAGTGGTCCCCCCCCCCCCCGTAAATCTCTGGTTGGCCTGAACAAAGAAACTGGGCCCTCCTGCAAAAAAATTTGAACAGTACATCAATTTCAAGTTTGTTGGCTTGACTTCCAGAATAAACTGTTGCTACTCACTATTTTTTATTTCATTCTAACTGTCCTACTGACAAATTAAGCAATCAAATGCTCACTTTTCCTACCCAATTAAGCTGACTGAAAAACAGGCCACTGTTGTTGTACTAACACCAATCAGACTCTCACGTGACCATGGCTGCCCTCCTCCTGCTCGGCAGGGTGGACGGTGCCAAGACCATAGCCAGGAGCAACAGTTAACCTCCCTCAGCAGTCAGCAACCGTTTTACTAGTTCCAACAACTTCCAGGAACCAATCTGCCTTACAAATGGGTTGTTAAACCACAGGAGAGGCCCACACTTATCCTGACAGCCAGTCACCTACTCAACCAAGGAATAATCCTCTGAGAAAACTGCTGCATCCAGCACGAGGCATGAGACTTGGTAAAGAGGCTGCCCTCTAACCCAAGGCAGAACACTGAACTATGAACTCGCCCTCCAAAAGCAATCAGCACAACCTTCATTTCAGCCACGAACCCTTTAAAGGTTGGTGTTCCCTTTGCAGTGAGTCCCTGCATTGCTGAGATTTTTCAAAATTCTAACTTCCTGCCTCACAGATCTAAAATAGCCATTACATACTCACTCAGTTCAGAATCAAGGGCGGCGGAACCCTGGCTTCTGGTCCTAGCCTCACCGCTCCACACCCATTCATTTTGCACTAATATAACCACTAAATACAGCTTGAAGACACTGACGATTAAAAGTAGTTAATTAGGGGAGTGATTCATACCTCCTCTGTCCAGACACCAAGATTCTAGGATGTTTCGGTCGGATCTACGGGAAGAGGGAACGATGAACACCTGTCACAAACGCTTTCCAAATCAGGAAGCCCCGAACTGAGTTACTGTCTAGCTCCAGCCCCATTCCCGAGGCCACCCCGCACCCCACCCCACACTAACAAACACCACCAGAGAGAGCTCCTTACTTTTTCCCTGAGTCTGTGAAACCAATGGGGAGCCTCAAAAGCCTTCGAGAGACTCATCGAAGAGACTAGAGAGGGGGCCTAGGTTTTTCCCAGTGCGAAGTCCGCGTGAGAGGCCCGCAGGCAAGTCCAAACTGACTTGGCCTCTCTGGGTTTGCCAGTAAAATGCAGAGACCGGCACGCAGCTGTCAACTGCGCCGCTAAGGTGTGTCGGTTCCTTTCCACAACAGCCTACACACAAACCCACTCAGCACCGGTCCGCCCACCTGCGACCACCCGGCCCGGGGACGCGCCCTCCCCCGCGAGGAGGAGCGGTGCTGGACCACTGTCCCCATCCACTGTCCGCAGCGCATCGGGGCCAGGCCTTCACGACCCCCGGCGTGGGGCTGCTGCCCACTCCACCTGCCCCGGCGCGCCCCTGGGAAGTGATGCCCCATGGCGGCCCGAAAGCTCCCCCGGTCCGAACCTCCCTCGTGGCCACCAGCCACCACTACCCACCCGCTCGCCGGGGCCACTCACCGGCCGCGCCGTCTCCTCGGCGGCCTCCCGGCCGCAGCCACCAAGGGGCCGCCGCTGTCGCCGCCGCCACCGCCGCCTCGCCTCTCAGCCCAGCCCCATCGCCCTCGGCCCGCGCCGGCGGCCGCGGGGCGCTCGGGCTCGAGGCCGCTGCGGCTGGTGGGGTGAGCGGAGAACGACGCGCCGCGGCGGGGCCCGGGCCGAGCGCAGGGAGCGTCCGCGTTCCCCGGGGCGCCCGCGGCGGCGTGTAGCCGGGCAGGCCGACGGAGGAGGCGCTGGGGAGGGGGGCGGTCTGCACTCGGAACGGCCTCCCGCCGCCAGCGACGGAGCGAACCCCCCTCCCCGGGGCGTCCGGAGCACGCTGCGGGCAGAGCCGGCGGGCAGGCCGGGGAGCGCGCGCCGCGAGCTCGGGACTCCCGCGCCGGATGTGAGCTCACGTGATGCCTCAGCCCCGCGCCGAGGCCGGAGGGGCGCGGAGGGGACGTCAGGGGGCGGGGCGCGCGCAGGCCCCGCCCACGCGCCCGCCTGGGGACCCCCGTCCTCCTGCCCGGCCTTCCCGGCCGCATCCTGAGGAGAAGCGCTCCGACGGGTCAGTGTGTGGGACGCGGCGGGGAGAAGCGCTCCGAGGGGTCGGTGTGTGGGACGCGGGGATGCCAGCGGAGGGGCGAGGAGGAATTTGCCTTCCTGTCTGCATTAACTCATAATCCAAATTCCTGTTTGACGAAAGGGGAAACTGAGGCCCAGGGACTAGCCTAGCCATATTCCAGGATCACGGTCACGGTCGCGGTCAGGGAGGAAGCATGAGCTGGAATGGTGAGGGACGAGAAACCAAATCCCGGCTCCCAATTCTGGCCTCTTTTATTCCTTCATCTCCCTTCCCTCCGCGCCCTCCCCCCGCCCAAAAAAATGAATCAAAAACAAAGACTAGAATTCGCATGTGGCAGCAGCTGTGCGCTGCCCCCCGCGAGGACACCTTACCATGCGTCCGTCGGCCGCCTCCCGGCAGTGCCGCGTGCAGCTCAGACGCCTCCAGAGGCGGAAGGCTTATCTCGGGCAGGCCCCGCCGGATATCCAAATCGCGGGTTCGGTTTTCGCGGCGTCCCCGGGGCAAAGCGCTCAGCCACCTGCTGCCTCTGGCTCCGCGCGCCCTGGAGCGCAGCCATGTAGCTATCGGGACTCCTGAGTGTTTGGAGGGCACATCCTGTACTCAGCCCCTGTACTCGAGCCACACTCGGGGGACGCTCCTGGGGTGACACCTCCAGCGGGGGAACTGATGGAACTAAGGAAGGAGGCGCCAGTGTGTTGCCCTGGTCCCCCGGTAGAGCCTCCTGCCATTTTCTTAGACCACAAGTGCACAGCCGCAGAGTGCGAGGGCTTCACACCTCCCTCTTCCCAAACTTCGTCTTTCCTTCCCAAGGTGATTAGATGAGATGCAGAGTGTGGAAGCTTTGGGCAAACGCTGGATAATGTCTGGGTGGGACTGGACTGGGCAGACCTCTTCTCTGACCTCTGCTGCTTCACTTGCCCCCTGACTGTTTTCCGGAAAACTTTAAAGCTCACACTCCTCAAAGTCCTAAATAGAAGGCAGCCCTCCCGCTCAAGTACTTTGTGTGAGGAGCCACTGGAATACAGGCCCTGAGGGTTTCAGCCGTTTTGACTCTGTACTATTACTGTTGCGCGGTTCTGGTTATCCACCAGTGAAATGCAACTTGGTGGCATCTCACGTGAGAACCTCACCCACCAGTCTCTTGCCCATCTACCAACACCTATGATAATCTCAGTCCCCGGTCAGTGGGGCCCAGTCAGGGCCCCTCCCAACCAATTCCCCACACCCGCCGCACTTTCCAGGCCCTCCTGGTTGTATAAATGAGCCTCCACTTGTGCCCCCTCTCCCTTTTTCCCCTAATCTTGGCTCTGCCCTGTTCTGCTCCATCTGGCCCCCTTCCCCTGTCCTGGCAGCCCCCATTCCTGTTCCTATTCTGCTGGAGTAAAAGACCTCCTAATATCTCATCATGTCTGGTAATTTCCGCTCATGATAAACTAATGGTAAAAAGAGGACTTGGCTGCGGGAAATTAGCTGCACATAACAACTTTAAGTGCGCTTAAAACTTAAAACTTGGCTGTTGCAGTAACTAAAGTCCTCACTTTGTACACACCAGGATTCCATATGGGTGCCAGTTCTAATCCTGGCAGCCTAGCTTCCCATCCAGCTTCACTGCTTGTGGCCTGGAACAGCCCAGAGCCTTGGGACCCTGCACTTGAGTGGGAGACTCAGAAGAGGCTCTGGGCTCCTGGCTTCAGATCAGCTCAGCTCCAGCTGTTGCGGCCACTTGGGGAGTGATTCAGTGGATGGAAGATCTTCCTCTCTATCTCTCCTCTTCTCTGTGTATCTGATTTTCCAGTAAGAATAAATAAATCTTTAAGAAAATGAAAACCTAACACGCTGTCCACCCAGAGACCCACTGTGTCTCCACATTCTCAAGCAGACCTGCTAAACGGTGGTCACCTTGTCTTTCTCCACTTCCTCACATCCCAACACTGGACTCCACCACCACCACCACCACCACCACTATTCATGCTCCTGCACCCAGCTCAGGCAGGAATGACCCGAGGCCTTCATTCCCTCAAACCTACAATGCACACCTCCTATTGATTTCTCTGGCTCTCTCTGCTACACTTGACACCTTCTGGAACCTCTCCTGTCTCGGTTTCTAGAAGAATGCACCCTCCTAATTGTCGCATCTCATGGATTATGGATAAAACCTCCTCAATGTGAATTTACATTCTGAAGGCAGGATGCCACCTAAGGAAAGCAGCTTTTCTCATAGCTCTCATTCTGGGGAGCTCACCCCCACCTCCATGTTTTTAGTCTCAGATCCACAATATCCACTCCAGAACTCCGCCAGAAAAGTAGACCTAAACATCCACCTGCCTGCAGGGCAACTCTGCCTGTACAGCACAGGAACCCCCAAACTCACAGTGCCTCTAAACAGAACTCAGCTGCTTTCACAATGTTCCTCTCCCAGCTGCAGACATCATAGTAAGACAGCTAGGAATGAGTGAGTCATTTATGATTCAGCCCCCGCTTTACCCAATCACCAGATCCTATCTGGTCTACCTCCTTGATAAGTCCCAGATTCCCACTCTCATTCTCACCAGCATCCTTCCTGAGCTGTTACTGCCGCCTCCTGACAATCTTTCTTTTTTTTTTTTTTAAGATTTATTTATTTATTGGAAAGTCAGATATACAGAGGAGGAGAGACAGAGAGGAAGATCTTCTGTCCAATGATTCACTCCCCAAGCCGCCACAACAGCTAGAGCTGAGCCAATCCGAAGCCAGGAGTCTCTTCCAGGTCTCCCACGAGGGTGTAGGGTCCCAAGGCTTTGGGCCGTCCTCGACTGCTTTTCCAGGCCCCAAGCCGGGAGCTGGATGGGAAGCCGGGCTGCCGGGATTAGAACTGGCGCCCATATGGGATCCTGGGCATGCAAGACAAGGACCTTAACCATTATGCCATTGTGCCAGGCCCATCCTCCTGACAATCTTTTCAGCAAATTCATCTCCATTCAGCCTTCAGAGCCAGCTACCTAACCCACACACCTGCTTACACTCCTAACAGGCCCCCTGGGCTTTGGGCTGCCGTGTGAACCTCCCAACCACCCTCAAGAACTTGTCAACACACTCAGGCTTTTTTTTTTTTTTTAAGATTTATTTTTATGGGACAGTCACATATACAAAGACAAAGATCTTCCATCCTTTGATTCACTCCCCAAGCAGCCACAACAGCTAGAGCTGAGCCAACCCGAAGCCGAAGGCACAAGCCCAAAGCTTCTTCCTGATCTCCCTTGTGGGTATAAGGCCCCAAAGCTTTGAGCCATGCTTAACTGTTTTCCCAGGCCACAAGCAGGGAGCCGGATGGGAAGCGGGGCTGCCAGGATTAGAACTGGCGCCCATATGGGATCCTGGTGTGTGAAGGGAGGACTTTAGTTACCACTAAGCTACCACACCAGGCCGCACACTCAGGCTTTTAAAAAGACCCCCAAGGGAGCAGCAACATGGCTTGTAGCACTGGCATTCCATGTGGGCACCAGTTCGAGTTCTAGCTGCTCTACTTCCAATCCAGCTTTATTTCTGCTGATATGCCTGGCAAAGCAGCACAAGCTGGCCCAAGAGCTTGGGCCCCTGCACCCCCATGGACTATTTGAATGAAGCTCCTGGCTTCAACCTGGTCCAGCTGTAACTGCTGCAGCAATTTGGGAATTAAATCAGAAAATGGAAGCCCTTTCTGTATCTCTCAGTCTCTCTCTGGCATGCTTTCACTTTCTCTGTAACTCTGCCTTTCAAATAACTGAATAAAATCTTGAAATAAAAAGACCCCAAAGAACCTGGACTTCAAGTTGGAACCCAAATCCCCACAGTATGGCAATACACAGCTGGGGAAGGAAACTATAGAAAGAGAGCAGCCAAATATTGCCAAGAACCCTCTGATACAGATGTTTGGAGTCTAGAGAGGTGAGAATGTAGACAATAACTTGGAAGGAGATGCTGAAACAAAGAGCCAGAAACTGAAGAGAAACCCAAAAGAGAGGAGAAAGGGAAGGACAGCAAGTCTTGAGAAATTCTGCAAGGCTTCCGGATGCTCAGCCCATGAGCATGAGACTGGCAGGGTCCTATATGAGCTGGGCCTTACCCATCCTTCCCTCCTCCCACCCATGATCACAACCACAGACAGCTAACAGCAGTCCTAGCAGGCTCTTACTTTGTACCAAGACTTCTTGCATCTCCTCTGTCCTCCACAGCCTACTTGTCACCTGCCCTGCCTGCTTCACTAAGGCAGCCCAGCATTCCAGCAAATAGGACAGGACAGACCGAAGGCCGAGGGACACTTGGAGACTGAGAGACACGGTGTGGTGTTGCAGTGACCAGATACCACAGCAGCATTGGGCAAGCAGTGATCTGAACTCCACCAGTGGCCAGAACTCCACCAGCAATCAGGTGGGAAGGAGAGTTCACTGGGAACTCAGGAGATGAACCTAGAAAAAGAACTGCTCATCCTGCTGGTTTGTTTGACCAGGAGCAGAGAAAGAGCAGCAGATCCCAAATAGGCGGTGTGGGAACAGGGTGACTTTTACAGCTCAGGTACCCACCAGAGCCACATCAGTCATCATTTTGTGCAGGAAGGCAAAGGTTATGGGACAGAACTATGCATGCACTAAGCTGTGAGGGAACTCATTTCTGTGTCAGTGAATTGCAACAACGTGGCATCCTACAGATTCCACCCAAAATAGGTCTGGATAACCCCTAGACCTAATAGCCAGTAGATCAAGAACTCCACAAGTGGCACATCAGGTAGCATTTTGTATAGCATGGCAAAGACTTTCTGACAGCAGGGGCA